CAGAGGCAGTACCTGCACCTCCTCAACACCCCCCCCCCCCCTGGTAATGAGCATCCAACGCCAGCACAATGCCCCCTCCCAGTAACGAGCATCCACTACCAGCATCCAACCAACCACCACCCCAAACCCTCCCCAATTAACGAGTATCCACTACATAGTAACATAGTAGGTAAGGTTGAATAAAGTCACAGGTCCATCTAGTTCAACCTATGTATATGTGTGTATGTATGTATATGCTTGGCTCTAGTAGTTCCCATATCCCTGTATATTTAAGAACTCAAGAAACTCATCTAAATGTTTCTTGAATTTATCAATGCTACCTTTTCTTGAGCCAGCTTAGGAATGGAAAAAACGAGCTCTGAAGGAGAAACACCTGGGTGTCCACCTTCTTTTTATATACTGGAAAACTAAATTTACCATTCTCATTTTTGGGAATGTCATTGGCTGCTTTAGCTCCTTTTTAGCAGCATTGGCTCCCAAAGACAAAAGAAAGATTAAGCAGGAAGGAGGATCACCTTAAATAGATTGTTATCAAAAGACGACTTGTATTTGTTTCATAAAACAACATATCCAAAAGATAGAAAAATTCCACAGCTGAACATATATTTTATTTAAAATAATGTCCTTTTCCTATCTGTAAATGAGATGCCATTTAGACTTTTTATGTGTTAAATTTATATCAGAAATAAATAAATACATTCATTTATCAGATGTTCTGGTTGAATGTTAAAGAAGTAAATGTTATGCGGTGATCTCAAAATAACTACCATAAATCACAAAGTGCCACAAGTGAGGTGAACTCGCAAGTTGTGTCATTCAGCGGAATAAATAGTTTTCTTTTCTGCATCGGACAGTTGGTCCCACCTCTGTTTAGACTGGAAACGAATCAGTTTTTGCCAAACAATCCAGTGCATTTCTAGTGAAATCCCACACAAATGGCTGTAGTTCAGATGAGTCACAGACCCATGTTTTAAACGCCTAACTTTTGCCATCATAAATAAACATTATTGGTTACTGAGGTGAATGGATTTCAGTCTGAAGCATATCAGGCTTTGCTCAGATCACTAGGTGCAGCCAGAAATTTCAAAGAGACCAAAAGCCAAATGATTTCATACATTACTGGTCACTTGTCAGGTCCCATTGGGTGAAAGAAGACCTGTCTGTACCGGACCCTCCCTTTCGTGTTTCTAACGCAAACTAGAAAATAGCTGGAAGGGATTTGATGGGTCTTATGGATATTTCTTTTGACATGCTTTACACTAGGAGGTTGCAAAAAGCAGAATATTTTAATCTGAACATTACCCTCCCTATTTTACAGTATATAGTCCTGTAAAATATAAAACTTTCCTATTGTGTTATCAAAAACATGTACACTATCAGCTGTCAGAGGCTAAGGATTTGGGTTTTAGAAGAATCTGCATTGGCCCCCGCAATTGGAAGTCTATAGTACCTGTGGAGGTGGGTGGTAGGGTGTTTACCGAAGAGTTACTGAAAACCACAGATTTGATGCCTAAATCCAGTTATTATTTTTGGATAGAGTGGTTAAAGAGTGAACATTTCCATCAAGAAATATTCACCATCAAGAAATGTTCAGAAATTCACCACTGGGGAGTTTTTCTCTCACTTCCTGCCCCTGTGACAGCCATAAAAGTAATTCAGTGTATGGAATACATCAGGATAAGAAGTTACATACAACAATAAAACACATGACAGATGTCTTACCCCTTTCCCATCTACTAAAAGTGAATTCTTGTTTTTATCTGTGTCCCACTTTCTGTCTTGCCAGAAGGTGAGGGGAGATCTTCCCAACAGGTCACAGATTGCAATAAAAAAGCATGACAGGGGCCCCACACCATCCTCACTGTATCCCAAACACGTTTTGGCTGGAGTTGGACTTTAGTACCTTCCAGATGCTGTTGGCATTGTTCCTTTTAATAGAACTTAAAGAAGAAGAATAATGTACTCTTCTCAATACTTTGAGCATGTGACACTGCAGATGTCACTTGTTGGCTCTATAGCTCAAAAACTGAGTGATCACAAACCACTGATCACTCAAGTCACGGTCTTCTCTCTGCAGAGAGCAGTGACTTTCAAGGATTCCGCCCTCCCTTTTCTATTCCTCCAGAGCTCATTGGAGGGACAGATGGGATGGGGCGGGCATAACTGGCTTTTGCTCTAGAGAGGCAGAGCCATCTGTCAATCAAGTAGCAGGGTGGATGCCAACAATACTGCAGCACAGCTCTGCGCCATCAGCAAATAGATGGCAGTAGCCCTCTATATGCTTACTTCGGGTCACAGGGGCACATTAGTATATGTACTCCTTTGACCCAAAAGAGGACTAAAGTCAAAAAAAGGTTTGGCTTTAGTTCTGTTTTAATGAACACTGTTTGACTCAATGCAGTTTTTCAGTTTTGATCTATCAGCTGGCATGAAAGTGTTTACACACTTAGTGCTCTATTGTATCTCTTATATAAATAAAGGCTGAGGGTGGCCATACATTGCCTATTGTTTGCAAGCTGTGAAGCCAAATCGAGTATTGCTTGTGATATTCAGGATGGCTATAGTGTTTTTGGCTACAACAGTTTGCCACCAGAAAAGGGAACAAACTACAATGCAGTGCATAGCCTTTGTCCCTGGTCAGCTGAGCCAAAATAAGCTAAAGAAATCGATAACCCAGCCCCCTTTCTACAGGGTGGGATCACAACAGCCATAATGTCAGTGTGTGTTGGAGCTGTTAGGGAATGATTACAATTCTCTGTAGGGACACTGTTTTTACTTTAGCACTGGTATGTGTCCCCCATAGTAGTATCTGATTTCCCATGCCTTTTGTTTGACAATAGATTGCTTATTGGCCCTACAATTGGCCATTATTGAATAATAAGATTCACCTTCCATCTACTTTAATGGGGTTTGGTGCAAGGTTTGCTAATTTGAAAGTTCAAGCAAGATTTGCGCAACTGTTCATGAACCGCACCCAGGCAGATTATTAGGCTCCTCCCTAATAATAACTACAAACTGGTTAGTAAAAGGTTCCATTTTCTAATAAGCATTTGACTAGTCTTAAAAATCGTGCCCACCTGCTCCAATAATAAACAAAAGTAAAGGGTTTTTCATGGAATTTTTGCTCCAGAACTTACACGCCACTCTACCTGTCACACCTAACTCTCCCACAACCTAACCTCCTAGTACAGTCATGGTGACATGCAAGGAGAGCTTAAATGTGTCAAATCGTTAGAAATCAGTTTCCAGAACTACAAACAAACAGTTGTCATGTCCACTTTACCGTCCCTGTCGTATAGCTTTACAACATGAAATCTGCAACTGAAAGTTAAACTCTCACCAGAAGCATTTTTACATTTTGGATAGGGTTGGGTGAGATTTTACCATACTCGCTTGCCTGGAGATGCTCGGAAAAAGATGAGGAGAACAGTTGTAAGGAAATGTAAACTCCCATGCCTTCCCTGCTTTAGTATAAGTGTTTTTGTTGTGGTCTCTGACCTCACTTTATCTCACTTTCTTTAGTGTGTCTGGGACAGGAAGTGAGTGGAAAGTGAGTGCAGGCAGCAGGGCTACTGCTGGTCCTGCAGTGCATGTGATGACCTAAGAGTGCCTGACCACAACCCAGGGTGGAAAAGAATGGGACTAAAGCATTGTCTCCTGTGAAGAAAGGTACGTTTTACTTGTTTCACTCAATTAATCCTTCATCAGTCAGTAGGGCACAACTAATATTGGTTTAATTGGTCCAGAGTTCCACTTAATATACCAGAGAACTGGAAAATTCTATTTCATTCTAAAACAATGGGGTATTTTTATCAAAGCTGGAGCAGACAGAATCAGAAGCAGTTGCCATTTGTAACCAATCAGCTTCTCTCCTCAGTTTGTTCAGTTAAGCTTTGAAAATGAAAGATACTGTGGATGCTGATTAGTTGGCATGGGCATTCTGTCTGCTCCAGTTTTGATGAATTCCCCTCAATCATTTTTACTTAACACTCTATGGTTACACTGTGCTGCATTGTGATGTATTTATAGAGCAGACATAAAGTGCTGTGCAGTTCCTTACAGACTTACATACAGTCCATTAGTCCCTGCCCCAGAGGAGCTTACAGACTAATATCGCTATCATAATCATAGTATTACACATACACACTCAGCCACCTGATTAGTCAAATCAAATTAACATACCTGTTCATTTTTGGACTGTAGGAGAACCTAGTGGAGAATCCATTATCTTAGGATGAATATGCAAACTCCATGTAGATATTTTCTTTGATACCACTGAATAGTACTTAATAAGAACGTCAAGTCAAAACGTTTTTCTTAGTTTGAATAGAGTGTGACAAAAGTGGAAACTCTGTTGGGGATTTGCTCCTCTCTGGGGCTCCTTAAGAGAGGTTTCCCCTTATTATCTTACTTCCTGCCCTGCTGGCAACACTTTACTAGACAGGAGAACTCGACAAAAGAGACAGAAACAAAAATGTTTTTTTCATAGTAGAGTATGGGGAGGCTAGAACCCCTGTCCGATTTTTATTTATGTCTGTGCTCCTGTTAGTTTCCCTCACCTTCTGATAAAACTTTTGTCTAAAAGGTTAGTAAGTAAGGTTGAATCTTTCTAACGGAGCCCTGGATAGCAATATAAAACAGTCAGTGTTTCTAATCCTTCCAAACTCTGTATAGAAAAAGGAAAAATGGTTTTGCTTTGACACACACGTTAAAGGCTAATAAAAAAATAAATGACAGGCAAATTATGATTTTAATATACTTTATTTAAAAAGTACACCATTTTAAATTATTTTGATGAGGCAAAGCTGAAAATGATGATCACCAGTGTCTGCTGTCCTGTAGTAATGAAGTATGACAACTGAATGAGGCTTTCACAGCTGCATGATTTGTGGACTCAGAAGAATAATCTTACTTGCATGTCTTTGAGAGTTTTCATCCTCTCCAACAGTATTAGAGTCATGAAATGCTGATGTTTAGACTACTTTTTTTTTGTCTCTTCTATATTGCACCATTCCTCTCAGTTCACAGTTTATCCAAATATGTGGCATGCCATGGGGTCAGTGCAGTCAGGGTCACCTGGAGATATAGACCATTAGAAGAGATAGCAGCATTGTCATGGGCTGGGATGAAAGGCCGAAGGCTCCACCACATTCTCTGGCATTCTCCTAGATACAAGAAAGAATATGTTGGAATAAAATTTTCTAATAAACATGGTAAACGTTTTGACCTCTCCGTGGAATACTAGGGAAGAGAACAAGGAATGAATGAACTATGGCCTTCCAATTAAAAGTATAAGTCAATCTGCACTTACAGTTTTCACTTATTTCCCCCCCTGTAAAGTCACACAAATATTGGCCTGCCAGTAAAGACCACCTAAAGAAGCTTCCAGTGATGGTGTGGCAACAACACTGCATTGCTCCAGATTTCTAAACAGGAGGTGCCAATCTCATGCCTGCTTCCAATGCAGTTGGTTGAAATAAATGTTGCAGGGAGCGTAGTTATCAGCATTGTTACTACTGATTCATAAGCCTGCAGCTGTCAATCAGCACCTGGCCACACCTATTCCTGCCCACTGTTTTCTGGATTGGCAGCACTGCCTCTGCTGCTGAAACCCTCTTACTGGGAGCTGCAGTGTCTGGGAGGGGTAATATATGAGACACAAATGAAGGGGGATTTGGTTCAGTCAGGGAGGGTAAAGGAAGTTTTTTTTTTACTTTATGAGGCTTGTCCATCACAAAGTAACTGCATTCTGCTGCCATACACATCCTTTTAGTTCTACTTTATATTATTACAAATGTGCATTTGTACATATTTAATTGTTTTAGTTTTGAATAGTGCAGTGAAGAGTTGGAACCCCTGTCAGTTATTGAGCTCTGTTATTGGGATTTCCCTTCACTTTCTGTCCCTGAAACACAAATGGATGGAATGGAAATCTTTCCAGTGTCAAAGGAAATTCCCAGTTGTCATCAGAACATGTGTCCCACAGGTAGATTTCCTCTCACCTCTTGTTCCTCTGTCAGCAGTATATTTTTGATTTTCCCATGACTCTCTGTCCAGTTGACAGTGGTCACCAATACAAATACAATTCCTCCAGCACAGACATAGACAACAATAAAAAACCCTGCTGAGTTTTAATACTTCCCCTCCATGTTCAAAACTACAAAAAACAATGTTTTGGCTAGAGATACACCTTAAGGATCTATGGTCATACAAAGTGCACTTATCCTTCCATCCCTTCAACCTAAAGTAACCCACCTTCACCCACCCTAGATAAATATTTACCTGCATCCTCTCAGCTGTGGCCTGCCACAATCTTTACATCCTGTGGCTAAAATGTTCTTTGCGCTAGGACCATGTGTACAGCCAATTCCTATATACCTATACTAAGCCTTATGCTACAGGATGTAAAGATTGTGTCAAGCTATAGTTATGGGGTGCAGGCAAGTATACATCAGATGCAAAGAGGTTGAGTTACTAAAGGCTAGAGGATGGAGGCAGAGGATAAGGCACTTTGTGTGAAAGTCCAATTATGATTTTAGATTTTGTTTTCCATTTTTTTGGTTTACATATATATATAGGAGCTGTTTTACTTGACGAAGGGGTTGCAATTCTGTCCAGTCAACGAAAAGATTTACAGCACAGCTAGGACGGTGACCTTCATTTTCTCTACTGAAGTTAAGCAATACAACTTGATCACCACCCATATATATATATATACAAAAGCAGATGTGACTTACTTCTGGATGAAATCCATGACAAGATTCTGGACGTCTCCGTATCTTCTGAGATTTTAAACGTTCACATTTCAGGGATTCATTATGTATACTGATGTTAAGGAGAGATACTTTAAAAGTTTGCTGAAAAAAACCCCATCAAAATGTAATTTTGTTCACATACTGTATGTTAGCTCTAACACTTCAGGCCAAATACTTCTATTAAAATGGAGAAACCAACGAGACTTCCACTTACAAGACTTTAACCATTCTAGATCTATATGCAAATTGTGATTGTTCTCTTGAATCTTCTACATCCTAGTGTTCACAGGTTGCTGGATACTGGCTCTGCATGCACACTACTAGAGCTAGCAAAAGTAGTTTTTTTGTATTATATGACTGGAGAGCATGGACTTTTGCTTAGAGTGATAACTACAGGCATATACAAATTCTTCAGTATACTGATATTAAAGGATATATCTAATTTCAATAGGAGTCATAGTGATTGGAGCGACAGAACTGCAACTGCAGACGTTGTCCACCACAACCATGAAGAGATTACTGCTAGGGATCTGCTGGATCACAAATGACCTAAAACAAAACAAATAAAATAGTAAGATAGTATTTATATGTATGCATTTCATTACTAGTAATAAAGCACATTATAATTTGGGTGGGTGGTGAGGAGGTGTCTTGTACAGTGTTCTTCTTAAATAATAGATCTTTATAAAGCTGTAGCCTGACCAAGCAACAGTATACAGACACACCCCATGCTCCTTAAAGTAGTATTAAGGTCTGGACGTTTTTTACCTGGTAAAAACCACCCAGAACCTTTTTCTCCCCCAGTACCACCCCCCCCCCCCCACACTA